GACGAGGCCGGCGAGTGCTCTCCCGCCTGGGTGGCCTGGAGCTGGTGGTGGTCGTGCGCGTGGTGGTGCACCGGGTGGTGGTTCTGGAGGCGGGCCCTGTCAGTACCAGATCCAGACCGTCCTCGCCGCGGCTTCGTTTGCGGTAAGATCGGTCATTCCACTCCTCGCTGTTTCGTCGTCTGGACGACCTGTTCCGCCAGCGCTTTGGCCCGGCGCCCGACCTCCCGGACTGGCACAGCTTGCTTAGGCGTAGCATTCGGATTTTTGACTTGGACATGGATGCCATTGTAGCAGCCTTGCATGTGATGTATGCCGATGACTCTAGTGTGCTTCCCTCTTATTACCCCGTGTTGCCTAGTGTAGCTGTGCCTAGCGTAGACTCCCCTGCTGCGTCAGGCGTAGGATCTCCTGCTTTGCTTAGCCTCGGTGCTTCCACCGCTTCACTGTCGCCCCGCGCGACTGCTGCGCTTTCCTTCACCTTGGACTCTGGCGCCTCCCGGTGTTTCTTCCGCGACTCCACGACGCTTACGCCGCTGCCTGTTCCTGCTGCAGTTACTCTTGCTGACCCCTCCGGTGGTCCCGTCTTTGCGCGCAGTTCCACCTCCCTTCCCTGTCCGGCGGTTCCTTCAGGTTCGCTCACCGGTCTGCATATCCCCTCGTTCTCCCAGGAACCTAGTTGGTGTCGGCTGCCTCCAGGACCTTGGCGTCACCACTACGTTCCCTGGTCACAGCGGTATGCTGTCTGTACCGAGGCCGCCACTGGTGCCCCCTTACCACTTTCCCCCGGGACCCGGTGTCCGGCCTGTTCACACTTGACACCGCGACGTCCCCGGCTGGGTCTTCCCCCCAGGTAGCTGCGTCCACCCAGGTTGCTGCTGCGTGCTCCTGTCGGTCCCTCACTCATCCGACTCTCCTTTGGCACCACCGCCTTGGTCACCCTGCACTCCCCGCGTCTGCGTCACATGTCCCAGCACGATCTCGTCCTTGTCTCCCCGGTTCGTTCCCTGAGTTTCCCTCATCCCCCGCCCCACCGTGCACGCCTTGTGTCGAGGGCCGGCTCCGCCGTGCCCCTCACTCCTCCTCTTTTCCCCCTACCACCGCACCCCTGCAGACTCTGCACATGGACGTCTGGGGCCCCAGCCCCGGTCCATGGGCCGCGTCGCGAGCGCTTCTTCCTAGTGCTTGTCGACGACTTCACACGTTACACCACCGTCTTTCCCCTGGAGCGGAAGGCCGACGTGCCTGACGTTCTCATCCCCTGGCTTGTCTCTGCTCGTCTCCACCGCGGTCTCCCTGCCTTGCGCCTCCACTCCGACCGGGGTGGCGAGTTCGCCTCAGGTGTCCTTGGTCGCTTCTGTCGTGCGGAGGGCATCACCCAGACGTTTACCCTGCCGGACTCCCCGCAGCAGAATGGGGTCGCTGAGCGACGCATCGGTTTTGGTCATGGAGGTGGCTCGCACCTCCATGATCCACGCCGGTGCACCCCATTTTCTGTGGCCGTTCGCCGTGCGCTACGCCGCTCACCAGCTTAACCTGTGGCCGCACCCCCAGCGGCCGCAGGTTTCGCCGACCCTTCTGTGGACCGGGTCCCTGGTGACCGCGTCTGCGTTCCACGTCTGGGGCTGCCTTGCTCACGTTCGTGCCTCTGGCACGGACAAGCTCACTGCCCCGCACCCTCCCTGCGTCTTCCTCGGTTTCCCCCTTGACGCGTCCGACTGGCACTTCTACCACCCGCCGTCTCACCGCTTCTTTCACTCTCGCGACGTCACCTTTGACGAGTCCGTCTCCTTCTACCGCCGCTTCCCCCACCGTGGTCCCCCGGTTACTCCCCCCCTGTTCCTGGTCCCTCCTTCCCCGGTGGTCCCTGCCCCTCCCCCCCCCGCCCCCCCGTCCGGCCCCCTCTGGTGTGTCTCACGTCACCCCCTCCCGTCGGTCGTTCCGGTCGACGAGTCTTCTGACTCTGGTAGTCCCTTTGGCGCAGTCCTCGCCGTCTGTCCCTCCCCCGGTGTCTCCTCCTCCACCGCCTCCGCAGCCGCCGTCCGCCGCAGCTGCTGCAGCCGTCGTCTCCGCCGCCGCCGCCGTCGAGGCCGTCGCTGCAGCCGCCGCCGCGCCGCCGCCGTCGTCGCTGCCGCTGTTTGTGGACTCTGGGGTGCTGGAGTTGAGGTGGGTACTCGTCCCGGGGCTCCTGTCGTGGCTTGTCCCCGCGGGCCTGGGGTGGTACCGGTGCTGGCGGTGTTTCGGGCTCTGGGGTGTCCCTTCTGGGGTGCCGGTGTGGAGGGTTCGGGAGGTAGCCGTCGCGCAGCTTGTGGCCCTGGCGTTGGTGTTGTGTCGCCGCAGCAGCAGTCCCCGCCGGTGTCCGCCCTCCGTCTGCTCGCCTTCCGTCCCCTGACCCTGCGCCTGTTCCTCTCCGGCCGTCTCCCCCTCTTCCCGTCTACGGCCCCGTGTTCCCTCCGCCGGACTCGTCCCCGGCTCGTTTTCCCCCTCGTTCCCCACCTGTGTCCCCTCCTCTGTCTCCCGACCCGACGCCGCCCTCTCACGTCTGGTCTCGCCGCCCCTCCCGTGCTCGTCCTGTATCCCCCGTCCCGCGCACTCACCCTATGTTGCTCCGCTCCCACGCGTCTCGTCCTCCCCTCCTCCCGTCTCCTCCTCCGTCCTCTCTTGTCGTTGCGTCTCCTCCTCTGTCTGACTACTTTCGTGCCGCTCGTCCTCTTGTTCCTCGGGTCCTTGCCTCTCTCGTTACCGACCCGTCTGTTCCAGTGTCGAGTCTTGACGCCCTTTGTCGCTGCGGTCGCTGACTTCGCCTCTACCCGCCGCCTTGACTACGCCTCCGCTCTGGTCTCTGACCCTGCCTGTCCTCCGTCTGTCGGGGGTGCTCCTGCCCTCGGCAGTGACGTCCTGGAGGACCGCCAGTTTGAGCTTGCTTTCCTGTCCGAGGCTGCTCCCCATCTCTGTTCCATGCTGCTAGTTCCTGAGGGTGACCCAGACGCTTTTGACATCCCGACCCCTCGTACTTACGCTGAGGCGGTTTCGGGACCTTGGGCCTCTCAGTGGATAGCTGCCATGGAGCAGGAGATGGCATCTTGGAGATCCACCGGCACCTTCGTCGACGCAGTTCCCCCACCTGGGGTGAACGTGGTCGATGGCCGTTGGCTCTTCAAGGTGAAGCGCCCTCCTGGAGAGCCGCCTGTGTTCAAGGCGCGTTACGTGGCTAGAGGCTTCAGTCAGCGCGAGGGGGTGGACTTCTTTCAGACTTTCGCTCCTACCCCGAAGATGACTACTCTCGGGTTCTGCTACACGTAGCGGCTCAGCGTGACTACGAGCTTCACTCCCTCGACTTCTCCACTGCCTTTCTTCAGGGCAGCCTTCACGAGCAGGTCTACCTGCGTCGTCCTCAGGGCTTTACTGGCACCTTCCCCCCTGGGACCCAGTGGCTTCTGCGGCGCCCAGTCTACGGCCTGCGCCAGGCGCCTCGTGAGTGGCACGACATGCTGCGTGCTACTCTTGCTGACCTGCAGTTCTTTCCGTCCTCTGCAGACCCCTCGCTCTTCGTTCGTGCTGGCTCGACTCCGTTCTACATCCTCGTCTACGTAGACGACCTGGTCTTTGCCACAGCTGACAGGGACGCACTGGCCTCCGTGAAGGCAGAGCTGCTGAAGAGACACACCTGCACTGACCTTGGAGAGCTGCGCCGTTACCTTGGCTTGCAGATCTCCAGGGACAGAGCCGCCCGCACCATCACCCTGACTCAGTCACACTTGGTGCGCCAGGTCCTTCAGAGTTCGGCCTTCAGTTCTCCTCCGCACAGCCCACCCCTCTTCCTCTGGACCACAGACTCTCCGCTCCAGTTCCTGAGGAGTCGGTAGATCCCAGTGGTCCTTACGCTGAGCTAGTGGGTTGCCTCATGTACCTGATGACTTGCACTCGCCCAGATCTCGCATACCCTCTCAGCATCCTGGCTCGTTTTGTGGCCACAGGCAGACACCGACCTCAGCACTGGTCTGCCGCTAAGAGGGTTTTGCGTTATCTTGCAAGTACATCGGGCATGGGGTTAGTGCTAGGCGGACGCAGGCCAGTGGTCCTTACTGGACCACACAGACGCTTCTTGGGCAGACGACGCCGAGACGCTCAGGTCTTCCCAGGGCTACTGCTTTAGCCTTGGCTCAGGTGCTGTCTCGTGGAGACCTACCCGCTCCTCGTCGGTTGCCCAGTCCAGCTGTGAGCTGAGATCTACGCCGGTGCCATGGCGGCACAGGAGCTCCGCTGGCTGACCTTCTTGCTCACTAACTTAGGTGAGCGGCCTAGCTCTGCCCCGGTCCTGTACGCTGACAATAGGGCCATGATTCTCCTGTGTCAGGAGCCTCGACTCGAGGGCAGAGCGAAGCACATCCAGCTGCGGTACTTCCTCCTGCGCGAGCTACAGCAGCGGCGCCAGGCTCGCGTAGTACACTTGGCCTCCGGTGCCAACACAGCTGATATCTTTACGAAGGCGCTTGCGCCTAAAGATCATCAGCGGCACTGTTTACAGCTTGGTCTGGTTCCTGTAGTCTCTCACTTACTCGGGCCTTGACTTTGTACTGTCGTATATATATATATGTATACACTCAGACTGGACTTGTGTCCTCTCACAGTGGTTGGACTAGTAGTGCCGCCCTGTACTCGTTCTTGCCTTGTCTGTACTCCTTCTGACTGGTCTTTTAGACCCTTGTCTCAGAGGCTGGACTAGTAGTGCCACCCTAAGCTACTTGTCTAGAACATTCCCCTATGCAGTCCAGGGGGTGTGTCAAACATGTGTAGTTATCATGTTCGTATAGACTGTATAGGGTCACCTTCTAGAGAGTACACATTTAGGTATATGTTTGTGTACTCTCTCTCTCACATTATTCAATTCTAGGTTTGATACAACCTTCTTAGGGCATATTCCTGCAGCCTGGTTCCAGGATCAGGCTTGTGCGGTACTATGCAGTGTAGCAGTTAAAAATGCGTTTCATTACAGTTCATTTGGATTTCGTGCAAGTCTGATCCCGGAATCAGGTTATAGGAATACGCCCTTATCAACCATACTCTGCGCACCATAGCCTTTTCATCAACCGAGCCCCCAATCTCCGCTGATCTACCCTCCTTCACCATGTTGTTTTCATCCACATATCACATGACTTTCCATCTCAGGTGCATGTTTCAACTGCAGTGCAGAGCCTGAAACAGACAGTTTTCCACCAAATATGGTACACATATCCCAAGGCATACAGGGTGGTACACAGAATTGGCCTTCTCAGAATATTCTACACCCTCACTTCAGGGCTGTCAGTGTCACTGCAGGGCGGAGATCTTCTTCCAGGAGGGGCGGGAAGGAGATTCTCTCCCACCACTTGTTGACATTGGGTCGGGAGGTGATGAGCTCCGAATCCCCTGACGCCCACAGCATGGCCGTGTACGGCAGGTGGGGACAGATCCGCCAGGGAGAAAGCGGACCCGGCCAGGTACTCGCTGCTGGCCAGGTGGGCCTCGTACACGTCCAGCACCACTGAGAGCTGGAGGATGCAGGGGAGGGGGGGAGAGAGGGGGGGGGGTGGAGGGGAGGGCAAGTAATGGCAAAGATGTCTGAACTACAATGCTCTGCAAGTTGTAAACTGTTGACTTTCTTCATTTCTGTGCACTACCAGCACATATTGGAAGTAGAAAACAAAAAGGTAAAAATACAAAGGTTGCGTACCTTAGCCTCAGCTCTGCTGCCTTGGCCTCATCCGGCTCGCCCCCACCGAACATGGGCTTGAACACCTTCTCTGCGATCAGGGCTGAGATGGGCGGGTTGTAGTTCTGCGCCTCCACCTCCAGCCACTGGTTCACCAGCGCACGCTCCTGTAAGATAAGAGACATACTTGGAAGTGCTGTGAGGGGACTGAATCTGGCAGGTAGCTAGCCCTTCGAAAAGAGACTGTTGCAATCAAGTGGCATTAATGCTGACATTTGATAGAAGGGTTTTGCTGACGTGCTCCCACACATGCGTACCTTGAGCGTGGAACCAAGGAGGTCGGTGCCTTGGCTGGAGTTCTTGTCAGCGATGTAACGAGCGATGGCACGCGATTCTGGTGAAAGACAAGACAGCAAATTCGTACACAAATCAGATTTCTGAGAAAGCTCATCATAGAACGGAAGATTTTACCGAGGTGCAAGTGGCGCTAGCAGGAAAAGGTCTGATGGGGGTGGAATTGGAAAGGACGCACAATGGGACGTGAACTTACCGAAGACTTGAACTTCCCCATCATCTAGAAAGGGAATGACTCCGAATGGCTGCAAGAAACAAAGGCCATGGACGATGGAGGACGTTAGGGAACGAGCTGCATCACGCTTCACGTAGAACGACTTTATGCTCGCATTAGCCGTGAAGGGTGTCAGAACCTCAGGGTGTGAAATTTCAGATTGCGATTTCAGCCCACCTGCTTCTTTTTGAACTCTTCCGACTTGTGCTCGCCTTTCCCGAGGTCCACCGGAACCACTTCGTACTCCTGAAACAGACAATGCCGAAATTACTTGAGTTCAGCCGCGTGGTTCCAATTTTAGAAGAAAAAAGAAAGAGAGAGAAAAAACGAAAAACATGGCTGCAAGACGAAACGACATTCTTAGGAAAAGTACTTCCACCTCTTCATGCTAGCTCGTACCGTGACTGCCTTCTCCCTCGAGAGTGGTCAGCACCCTTTTCGTGCACGTCGACATGTTCAAGCCGTAGACCTTCACTGGAGCCATGTCGGCGGGGAGAGCGGTGATTACGGTGATAGCAGTGATGAGTATTGAATGACGCCAGAAGAATAAGAGGCCAGAAAGACAGTGGACGATCGAAAGGGTTTAGATGTTCGAATGAAGCCTACAGCCGCCATGGCGCGTCTAAATACCCGTTAGCTTATCGCAACGCCCGACCGAACACGCGTTAGAGACGCGCGTTGGGGTGAATACTATCGGAGTCGGAAGTTCTAGAAAATAGCAAAGGCTGTTTCGACGACGCTTCTGTCCTTCCATGCCGACAGCCCCCTCTGCTCTGGACCGCAGGGCAGCAGAGGGCGATGCATGTGCTGCGAGGGGAAACCCAGATGGGATGATGAAGAGAAGAACCTCGGATCCGATGTATGTGCATGTGCATGAGAAGTTCGGGGAGGCAGGATCTAGGTTCTAGAACCTCGGAGGGAATGTCGTCAGAGAGACTTCCGGGCAAAATCTGGGGCTCGTGACATTCCCGAGGAAATCCCCAAGACGCATGACGTCAGGCTTGGTTTCGTCGCCACCGTAGCCTGTCTGGTTACACATTAATACATTCGTGCAATCTCGCTGCTTCAGTTCAAAAGAGCAAGCAATGACGAAAGCACGGCCCTGGCGAGATGTTACACTTTGGAGTTCGGGCAGAATTTAGTCGCAAAATGAAGGGTGTGGTCCTGTCATTGCCCCAGGTTCAGTGAATGCGCAGGAACCTTTCGTTGTGAGAGCATTGGCGAGAAACGTGTGTTCCAGGTAACGAGCGTTTTCCGGCTTCGTCATACATGAGCAGAATTCGCAAACAGATGGAGCCCATGCTGTGTGTTTCGAAACCTACCTGAACACGTCGTCAAGTTCTCTGTCCTTTCGTCAACATCTTGTCAATCTCGCCATTCCCTTTCCATCGCCGCTGCCACCACTTTCAGTAGCGGCAGCCGGAAACGGAACAGCACAGCAGAAGTGGAAACCACGTGGCGCTGACTCATCACAGCAGGCCAGACCAGCACCAGGAGCAGAAGCAGAAGCAACTTTATGAAGCCGCGCAGTAGCTTTTTAGCTTTTTAGCAGCACCGACCAGCTGCCGCCTCTCCCGCCTTCAACCAGTCAAGCCCGCCCTCCACGTAAAAAAACACCGCTCTCCAGCCCGCCTTCCGCCCTTTCAACCGACCAACTCCGCCCTCTCCACCCTCCCGTCCTCCGCTCTCCCGTCCTCCGCCCTCCGCCTTCCCGTCCTCCGCGCTCCGCGCGATCATAGACCGACATGGCCACGCTTCTGCGTCGCGTCGCTGGCGATTGTAGACGGAGTAGCGGCGTGTCTGGCGCCGTGAGTCGCGCTGTCGGCCATTTTCGGAGCGGATTTGCGCGAAGCCCGCGCAGTTTCCTCCTCGACGCTCCTCCGAGTAGATGGGTCAGTGAACGAGTCCTTACCTGCGGTGTTTGTTTTCCGTCTAGTTACCACGCGCCATCGATACGCCCACCCGTGTTTTATCCAAGTAGTCTTGGCGCGACTATCAACCGACAAGGTATTTTTTTAGAATTCTCAAAAATACCCTGCAAACTATAGGCGCGACTATCAGCCGACAGCCTGTTCAAGCAACACTGAGTGCCACTGAGCTGTGCAGTTTACTGTCTTTTCCTACTTGCTAACCTGTCTACTGGCGCCGCGCTCACTGGAAGATGTCCAAGGATCTGCTGGTTCTAGCAACGCCTTACTAAGGCGTCTAGGCGGCGCTACGACTAGACCCCCTCGCCTACGATCCGCGTAGCTGACAGTAGTTACGCTCTAAGAGCGTTGTGTACCAATTTCACCACCGGCGGGGTACTTCTCGTGAATGCCACGTCAGCGTCAACGTGGCGTCAGGTCCAGCTCAGTCCACCAGTGCCACGTCAACGCCATCCGCGCGTGACATGCTGCCGCGTCAGCCGCTCTCGCCTCGACCCCCCCTCCCTCGCCACCCTCCCCCTTGCGCCACCCGCCAACCTCCGCCTCCCCGAACTCCCCAATACCCCTCACTACCCACTCCTCCCCCTCCACATTCGCCTCCCCCTCTCCATTCCTCCCCCCCTCCCTCCCCTTCCCCCTCCCCCCCCCGCCCCCTCCCGCGCCCCTTTTTTCCTCGCAGGCCAGCACGCTCGTATTGGCGGAGCACACGGGGAGGGGCGCGGGGGGCTCCGCCGCGACGCTAAAGCCACCCACCCTCTCCGCCCTGGCGGCGGCGCGGAAGCTGGGTGGGCCCGTGGCGGTGCTGGTGGCGGGGAGTAGTGAGGCGGTTGCTGACGTGGCAGCTGCCGTGGCGAAGATGGAAGGGGTGGACGAGGTGGGTGGATGAGGTGGGTGGATGAGGTGGGGGGATGAGGTGGGTGGATGGTGATGTGGCTACCTAGACGTACGCGTGCAAACGCCGCATCTCCCCTCTGCACATGCAAGCATGCATGTATTTATGTATTTATGCATGCACTTCCTGCCAAAACAACCGTGGACGTTGGTAGCAGTGGCAAGGTGTGAGTGCCCACTGCACGTGCATGCGCCCACTTCAACCCTCCCCTCCTCCCCCCACATGTGGGCCCGGGCCGTGGACGTCGGTAGCAGTGGCAAGCTGTGAGAGGAGCTCACATCTCCGCTCCGCTCCGCATCTCCCCGCCGCACGTGCAAGCGCATCTCCCCTCCGCACGTGCAAGCGCATCTCCCCTCTGATCCTACACCATCCCCACCTCCCTCTTTGTCATCTTCTCAGGTGATTACAACAGAGAGCCCCGCCCTGGACAAAGCGCTGCCGGAGCCCCTGGCAGCGCTACTGACAAGCCTCGCCGCCCAGCGGTCCTTCTCGCACGTCCTCGCTGCCTCCTCCACCTTCTCCCGCAGCGTTCTGCCACGTGTCGCCGCGCTACTGGACGCCGCTATGGTGTCTGACGTGGTGGAGATCGTTGATGAGAAGACCTTTGTGCGGTGAGGGAGGCGAAGGGGGAAAAGGGGAGGGGGGGTGGGGGGTGGGGGGCGGTCCAGGGAGGGCTGGGAGAGAGTGCGGAGAGAGTGCAAGGAACCATGTGGGTGCGTTGCTGCGCTGCTGGACGCCGCAATGGTGTCTGGCCTGGGGGAAATAGTGGAGGAGAAGCCCTTTGTGCGGTGAGGGTGGGGTGCGTGGGGGACTGGAGGAAGTGGAGTGTATCGAGGAGAAAGGGGAGGGCTGGGTTTGTCGCCGCGCTACTGACGCCGCTATGGTGTCTGGCGTGGCCTAGATCGTCGTTGAGAAGACCTTTGTGCGGTGAGGATTGGACAGGTGGGAGAAGGAAGGGGAGATGCTATGTGCTGCTGCTGCCACTTATCGCCTCGCCACTGGATGCCGCGATGGTTGGGATCATAGCTGAGAGAGCCTTTGAGGCGCCTCAAAAGCCGCGATGGTTGGGATCATAGCTGAGAGAGCCTTTGAGGCGCCTCAAAAGCCGCGATGGTTGGGATCATAGCTGAGAGAGCCTTTGAGGCGCCTCAAAAGCCGCGATGGTTGGGATCATAGCTGAGAGAGCCTTTGAGGCGCCTCAAAAGCCGCGATGGTTGGGATCATAGCTGAGAGAGCCTTTGAGGCGCCTCAAAAGCCGCGATGGTTGGGATCATAGCTGAGAGAGCCTTTGAGGCGCCTCAAAAGCCGCGATGGTTGGGATCATAGCTGAGAGAGCCTTTGAGGCGCCTCAAAAGCCGCGATGGTTGGGATCATAGCTGAGAGAGCCTTTGAGGCGCCTCAAAAGCCGCGATGGTTGGGATCATAGCTGAGAGAGCCTTTGAGGCGCCTCAAAAGCCGCGATGGTTGGGATCATAGCTGAGAGAGCCTTTGAGGCGCCTCAAAAGCCGCGATGGTTGGGATCATAGCTGAGAGAGCCTTTGAGGCGCCTCAAAAGCCGCGATGGTTGGGATCATAGCTGAGAGAGCCTTTGAGGCGCCTCAAAAGCCGCGATGGTTGGGATCATAGCTGAGAGAGCCTTTGAGGCGCCTCAAAAGCCGCGATGGTTGGGATCATAGCTGAGAGAGCCTTTGAGGCGCCTCAAAAGCCGCGATGGTTGGGATCATAGCTGAGAGAGCCTTTGAGGCGCCTCAAAAGCCGCGATGGTTGGGATCATAGCTGAGAGAGCCTTTGAGGCGCCTCAAAAGCCGCGATGGTTGGGATCATTGCTGAGAGAGCCTTTGAGGCGCCTCAAAAGCCGCGATGGTTGGGATCATTGCTGAGAGAGCCTTTGAGGCGCCTCAAAAGCCGCGATGGTTGGGATCATAGCTGAGAGAGCCTTTGAGGCGCCTCAAAAGCCGCGATGGTTGGGATCATAGCTGAGAGAGCCTTTGAGGCGCCTCAAAAGCCGCGATGGTTGGGATCATTGCTGAGAGAGCCTTTGAGGCGCCTCAAAAGCCGCGATGGTTGGGATCATTGCTGAGAGAGCCTTTGTGCAGTGAGGAAGGGAGGGAAGTGGGGGGAGGTTGTAGGGTGCGGGGGAAGGGGAAAGGGGGAGCGGGGGTTTTGGGGGAAGGGGTTGGGGGTTTGGGGTCAGCAATGATATTGCCCCATGGCCCAGGGACGACTGTCAAATCTGCATACACCCCACGCATACCCATTCCCCTCCGTGGTGTTGCTGGTCCTTGAAGAATTCTAAAAATAAGGAAACAGACCCACTTCCACTGTTCTGCTTCGCCCACACTGTTTGCATGCTTAACATTCACACGGTTACCTGTCTTCTCTCCTTTTCCCCCTCCCTCCCTCCCTCCCTCCCTCCCTCCTCCCTCCCCCCCTCCCCCCTCCCTTCCAGCCCAATCTACGCGGGCAATGCTCTCGCAACAGTCTGCTGTGTGTCTCCCTTTGAGTCCTTCCTTCCCTCCTTTCCTCCCCTCCTCTCCTCCTCCTCCCCCCCCCTCCTCCCTCCAGCCCAATCTACGCGGGCAATGCTCTCGCAACAGTCTGCTGTGTGTCTCCCTTTGAGTCCTTCCTTCCCTCCTTTCCTCCCCTCCTCTCCTCCTCCTCCCCCCCCCCTCCTCCCTCCAGCCCAATCTACGCGGGCAATGCTCTCGCAACAGTCTGCTGTGTGTCTCCCTTTGAGTCCTTCCTTCCCTCCTTTCCTCCCCTCCTCTCCTCCTCCTCCCCCCCCCTCCTCCCTCCAGCCCAATCTACGCGGGCAATGCTCTCGCAACAGTCCGCTGTGTCGCCCCCTCTGACTCGATCCCAACACTCCTCACCGTTCGCGCCACCTCCTTCCCGCCACCAGCTGCTGCTGACGCCGCCTCAGCACCCACCGCCTCTAAGACCACGGCCTTTGACTTCCAAGGTACGACCGCTTGGGAGGATGTGCTCACCCCACCCCCTCTGACTCGATCCCGATGCTCCTCACTGTTCGCGCCACCTCCTTCCCAGCACCACCTGCTGACGCCGCCTCAGCACCACCGCCACTAAGACCATGGCGTTTGACTTCCAAGGTACGACCGCGTGGGAGGATGTGCTCACCCCACCCCCTCTGAATCGACCAACGCTCCTCACCGTTCGCGCTACCTCCTTCCCGGCAGCAGCTGCTGACACCGCCTGGCCATCTGCTGCTAAGACCATGACCTTTGTATTACGTCGCACTTTGCTGCTAAGTCCGAGTCCCACTTTCGCATCGATCTATATATCTCTCCACTCTCCTCCTTTTCCTCTCCGTGCCATTTCGTCCTCCTCCTCCTTTCCCCCTACTTCCCTAGCTGACACAGCGTCACAGGGAGGAAAGGAGGAGTTTTTCTTGGGCCGGGGAAGAAAGGAGTTTTTCTTGGGCCGGGGAGGAGTTTCAATAAACTTAAGAGTCACCTTAAGAGTCACCTTAAGAGTCACCTAAGAGTCTTCCCGTTCCCCCTTTATTTCCCCCCCCCTTTTTTAGCCCCCGCGGCAGAAAATTCCGTGTGGGTCGGGCAGGAGTTGCGGGCAGCTGACCGGCCGGACCTGGGCAGCGCGAAAGTTGTGATTGCTGGCGGGCGGGGGCTGAAGAGTGAAGAGAATTTCAAACTGCTGGAACAACTAGCAGACAAACTGGGAGGGGCAGGTGAGAGACTGGAACATGGGAAGCGAGAGTAGGAGGTGGTTGTTGGAGAGTGCCAGACTGCTGGAGCAGCTGACAGACAAACTGGGAGGGGCAGGTGAGAAGTGAAACACGGAGTGAACTATGATGGGGCAAAGGAGATGGGGAGGTGGGCAAGGAAACTTTGACAGTAGGAATTGGAGGAAGGAAGGGGGAATGATGGGGGTGCTGAAGGGCGAAGATACCTTCAAACTGCTGGAACAACTGACAGACAAACTGGGAGGGACGGGTGAGGACTGAAGCATGGGCAAAGGAGATGGGCTGGTGGCAAGGGTAGCTTTGACAGTAGGAATAAGAGGAGAGTGGGGGTTGAAGAGTGAAGAGATCTTCTAGGAGATGGGCTGGTGGCAAAGGAAGCTTTGACAGTAGGAAAAGGAGGAGAGGGAGAGGTTTAGGAGGTGGGGGCTGAAGAGCAAAGAGATTCTCAAGCTGCTGGAGCAGCTAGCACACAAACTGGGAGGGGCACGTGAGGACTGCAACATTCGCTTCTACCGTATATGCTTCAATCTGCTTCTATATGTTTCTATGTGCTTCTATATGCTTCTATATGCTTCAATCTGCTTCAGTCTGCTTCTACATGCTTCAATCTGCTTCAATCTGCTTCTATATGCTTCTATGTGCTTCTATATGCTTCTATATGCTTCTATGTGCTTCTATATGCTTCTATATGCTTCTATGTGATTCTTTATGCTTCGTTATGCTTCGTTATGCTTCTATATGCTTCTATATGCTTCTATGTGCTTCTATATGCTTCTATATGCTTCGACATGCTTCTATATGCTTCTATATGCTTCTACATGCTTCTATGTGGTTCTATATGCTTCTACATGCTTCTACATGCTTCTACGTGCTTCTATATGCTTCTACATGCTTCTACATGCTTCTACATGCTTCTACTTGCTGCTGAAATGCCAAGTTCTTTTCATGGCTCCTAACCCCTTCCTCCTCTCTTGCCTCCCCGGAGTCACCCTCCCCGGTCAATCTTCCTTCCTCCCCCGCTCTTTCTTCGCATCCCTCCCCCCATCTCCTTTCCGTACCTCCCCCCTTCTTTCTCTTCACCCCCCCCCCTTTCACTATCCTCACATCTTCTCCTTTCTTCCTTCTCCCCCACGTCCCTGCCTTTTCCTTTCCTACCAGTGGGTGCTTCTCGAGCAGCTGTTGACGCAGGCTACGTCGCAAACGACCTGCAAGTCGGGCAGACTGGCAAAATTGTCGCCCCAGATCTCTACATGGCTTTTGGAATTTCGGGCGCGATTCAGCATCTGGCGGGCATGAAAGATTCTCGGACGATTGTGGCCGTTAATAAGGATGCCGACGCTCCGATCTTCCAGGTGGCGGATTACGGGCTGGTGGGAGATTTGTTTCAAGTGCTGCCCGAGCTCCTAGAGAAAATTCCTGCTAAGGCGTAATGGACGTCACAATTTGTGCCACTGATAGTGACACCTGGAGGAGGAAACATTACTAATCCTGCCAAAACATTATTATTGTAGTGTCTATGGTGGTATATTTGTAATGTTGGTTATTTGTGTTGTGAGACATACCTTCCCTTCGATTGACAAATCATGAATATCAAACTGCACTGCAGCAACAACTGTGAATGCACCATAGAAGCGAAAAAGCATATGGCAGCACTGGCGGTAGACGAAAGGCCATAAGACGACTTCAGCACTTGAGCCAACCCCTTTAGGAAAGGAAGGATCGAGGGCAGGGAGGCACAAGTAGTGAAAAACGGCCGCAAAAAAAAAAGGATCCTTGACTTGATACTGCTTCTCCTGCTGCTGCTGCTGCTGCTGCTGCTGCTGCTGATGCTGATGCTGATGCTGATGCTGATGCTGATGCTGATGCTGATGCTGATACTGATGCTGCTGCTGATGCTGATGCTGATACTGATGCTGCTGCTGATGCTGCTGCTGCCGCCGCCGCTGCTGCTGATGCTGCTGCTGCTGCTAATGCTGCTATTGCTGCTGCTGTTGTTGCTGCTGTTGCTGCAGTCGATGCTGCTGTCGCTGCTGTGTTAATACTGCTGCCGAGCACTCCACTCCTATCATACTATGCTGCTCCTCCAGTCCACGCAGACGCCCCCAGAATCGACTTGCCATTTCACAGCAGCCTCACCCCCCCCAGCTCATGCCGCTCCACTGCAAACCCCTTTCGGATACAGCGCGATCAACTCTCTCAACCCCCACGTGCTCCTCTTACTGTAATGCTGTGACCTGATGAGTGATGCCTGATGAGTGATGCCTCACCACAGCCCCTACATACTCCTTCTACTGTATATGCCGTGCCCTAACCCCCTCTCATCCACTCCCATCCTCCCCCCCTCCAGTCCACGCAGACGCCCCCAGAATCGACTTGCCATTCCATAATAACCTCACCCCCCCCAGCTCGTGCCGCTCCACCGCAAACCCTTTCGGATACGGCGCGATCAGTTCCCTCAACCCCCACATGCTCCTCCTACTGTAATGCCGCGCCGCCACCCCCAACCTCCCCATCCGCACATGCATCTGGTCGAGGCTCTCAGCCCTTACCAGCCTCTGCATTCCCTCACAGGCTACTAGATTCACCATTTCCCGCGCGAGCACAAACTCCTCAAAGCCGCGGCGGCCGAAGGAGAAGCGCGAGGCGAGGGCCTCGTGCGAGGCGAATACGTTGAGGAAGAAGTGGAGGGAGTCACGGAAACGTTGCAGGAAGAAGGGCTGCTGCTGGTTGGAGTCCCACTCGACCAGGGTGATAACCTTGGGCTCCAGCTGCAGGATTCTCTGGGGGAGGGGGAAAAGGGGGAAGAGGGGCGGGTGGGGGGAGGGAAAAGGTGGTGGGTGAAAAGTGAGTATGTGAGGGACGGATGAAAGAGAGGCGAGAGAGGGCCTCGTGGGTGGCGAAGACGTTGAGGAAGAAGTGGAGGGAGTCTCGGAAGCACTGCAGGAAGAAGGGCTGCTGCTGGTTGAAGTCCCACTCGACCAGGGTGATCACCTTGGGCTCCAGCTGCATGATCCTCTAAGGGGAGGGAGAGAGCGGGTTGGGGGGGTGGAGTGGGCATGTATTGTATGTATGTATGTACAGTGGTGCAGAGGCTGTTGCTGGTTGGAGTCCCACTCCACCAGGGTGATCACCTTGGGCTCCAACTGCATGATTCTCTGGGGAATTGGGGGGGGAAGGGGGAGGAGGGGCCAAAGGAAATGGGGGCGGGTAGAGAGGGGTAATGAGGGGAGACAAGGAGCGTGAGCATGTGTTCGAGAGTCGCCCTGCCACATTCACCAGCACACACTCCCGTCAAATCCTTGTGGCATTTACCATCACTGATGCGCCCTAACCATAGATTCGGTATCCTTACCATAGATTCGGTATCCTTGCCATAGATTCGGTATCCTTACCATAGATTCGGTATCCTAACCATAGATTCGGTATCCTTACCATAGATTCGGTATCCTTACCATAGATTCGGTATCCTAACCATAGATTCGGTATCCTTACCATAGATTCGGTATCCTTACCATAGATCCGGTATCCTAACCATAGATCCGGTATCCTAACCATAGATTCGGTATCCTAACCATAGATTCGGTATCCTTACCATAGATTCGGTATCCTTACCATAGATTCGGTATCCTTACCATAGATTCGGTATCCTTACCATAGATTCGGTATCCTTACCATAGATTCGGTATCCTTACCATAGATTCGGTATCCTTACCATAGATTCGGTATCCTTACCATAGATTCGGTATCCTTACCATAGATTCGGTATCCTAACCATAGATTCGGTATCCTTACCATAGATTCGGTATCCTAACCATAGATTCGGTATCCTTACCATAGATTCGGTATCCTTACCATAGATTCGGTATCCTTACCATAGATTCGGTATCCTTACCATAGATTCGGTATCCTTACCATAGATTCGGTATCCTTACCATAGATTCGGTATCCTTACCATAGATTCGGTATCCTTACCATAGATTCATTACCCTTACCATAGATTCATTACCCTTACCATAGATTCATTACCCTTACCATAGATTCATTACCCTTCCCACAGATTCATTACCCTTCCCACAGATTCATTACCCTTCCCACAGATTCATTACCCTTCCCACAGATTCATTACCCTTCCCACAGATTCATTACCCTTCCCACAAATTCAGGGCCCTTCCCACAGATTCATTACCCTTCCCACAGATTCAGGGCCCTTACCATCACTGCAGAATCCTTGGGGCTGTGCCGCAGGACTGTAGAGTCTGCCACACACGCCAGCCGCCCAGCAACATTCACCAGCACACACTCCCCCCGCTCCACTCCAATTGCCGCCGCCCGCAGCGTCTCCGGCGCCGCCTCGACCCGGGAAAAGGACAAGCTCACACCGCACTCCTGCGCCACCCGCAGCAGCTCAGCCTGCAGGAAAGCCGCAGGAAGCTTCGGACCCGTCCCATAGGGGTGACCATAGGGAGGATCTACAGCGGTGAAACGAATTCGGAGGAAGGAGGGAGGGATGGGAGAGGAGGAGGAGCAGGGTGAGGAACCTTGAAGGGGAGTGGGGGAGGGTGAGGAGGAGGCGGGTTGGGAGGGAGAGGAGAAGGCGGATGGTGATTGCCGGGCATGGCTGCTGGTGCTGCTCCCCGCTCGGTGACTGTTGCTACCGCCAGCAGCAGCACCACCACTAGTGTTACTCCTCACGTTACTGCTAGGGTTACCACCAGTGGTGGTAGCACCAATGTTGCTGGTAACGCCGGCCGCAGCCATTCTTTTCCGGGCAGCTGCTGCCAGCTGGCGGATGACAACTGGCCACTGGCCCGCCCACATGGCAAAGTCAACAATGTGGATGTTGGGCTCGTTCTCTGCTGCATCCTGCACGGAGAAGTAGGGGAGGGTGGGGGGTTTGGGGGGTATAGTGGTGAGTGTGGGTGGGGGTGGGGTAGGGGGGTGGGTTGTGTTTGAACACATGGCAAAGTCGACAATGTGAATGTTGGGCTCGTTCTCTGCTGCATCTTGTAAGCAGAAGGGGTGTGTGGGGGGTTGGGGTTGATTGAGGTTGGGGTTGGGGTTGGAAGGTGGGTTTGTCTGCCCACACAGAAAATTGGACAGTGTGAATGCTGGGCTCATTCTCTGCTACGCCCTGCCAGGAGAGGAAATGGCAAGGCCAACAACGTGATGGCAGGGGGGATGTCTTGTGCATTCCGCACAACGCGATGCCAACAACGCGAGGAAATGGCAAGGCCAACAACGCGATGGCAGGGGGGTAGACTAGACTGCTCCCTTGTGCATTCCGCACACAGTGGATGTCTTTTACGCGCCTAAAAAATCCTCCTGCGGTGCACGCACGCACGCACACACGCACGCACGCACGCAGTGACTTTTGAGTCGACTCAAAAGCCACCTCGTTACAATGGTGGCGCACACACGCACGCACAGTGCACCAGTGCACAGTTTAAAACCCCTGCTGAATGCCACACGCACCCCTGCTGTCGTTATCCATCCCCTTCCAGCTCTGTGCAAGCCTTACCACCACTCTGCACTCCCTCTGACAACTTCCCAGTCCTCACCATACCAGCATCGGGAAAACCCCTGCCAACGCTGTGCAGAACACCCAGCAGCACTGTGCAGAACATTTACCCGCACTTATCTCTCCTCACCAGCATGGCACAGGCCAGGGCGGAGTAGCAGAACTGGAGAGTGGGGCAGTGGGCTGCGAAGGCCAGGATCAGTGCCTCCTCCTGCGGTGGACCGGGAAGGGGGGTGCGAGCAGGAGGGAAATGCGATGAGGGTGTGGTGGGGGAGTGGGGTGTGAAAGACAGAGAGGAAACGGAGAGGGCATGGGGGTGAGGATGGGGGTATTGGGTGTGGAGCAGGCACGTTGCATGGTTGCGGTGGACCATGCACGTTGCATGGGTGCGGTGGACCATGCACGTTGCATGGGTGCGGTGGACCATGCACGTTGCATGGGTGCGGTGGACCATGCACGTTGCATGGGTGCGGTGGACCATGCACGTTGCATGGGTGCGGTGGACCATGCACGTTGCATGGGTGCGGTGGACCATGCACGTTGCATGGGTGCGGTGGACCATGCACGTTGCATGGGTGCGGTGGACCATGCACGTGGCATGGGTGCGGTGGACCATGCACGTGGCATGGGTGCGGTGGACCATGCACGTGGCATGGATGTTGACGTTGCACCGCTCAGGTAGGCAATGTGGTCCATCTATGCCAAGAGCCCCAGAAACCCTCAGAGCAAGATGGGCGAGCAGGCAATAGCATGGTGGCAGGAGCTGCGGTGAAACCCCCAGGAGCCCCTAAACCAAACTGCAGCTCACCTCAGGCGCCCCCTGACAGTAATTTCGTTTTGAGTCGATTCAAAACCCCCAGGTTCCCTCAACTGAACTGAACTGCACTGCACTGCACTGCACCGCACCTCAGGCGCCCCCAGGTGCCCCTGAGGAGAGCAGGCAATGTAGTCTGTGCCCAGCGCCCCCAGCAGCCCTCTGAGCGAGGGCAGTGTGAGGAGTCTATGTTTGAGGCGCCTCAAAATTAGACTGCCCCTGAGGAGAGCAGGCAATGTAGTCTGTGCCCAGCGCCCCAGCAGCCCCAGCAGCCTGCTTAGCGAGGGCAGAGAGCAGGTAGCGACCTACAGCACGAACACCAACTATTGCTACCCATGTGTGGCAGGCAGATACCAAGCCCCCTCACAGTCAGCTCACCTCAGGTGCCCGGCTCAGGTAGGCAATGTAGTCTGTGCCCAGTGCCCCAGCGGCCCTCTTAGCTAGGGCAGTGAGCAAGTAGTGCACTATGCGCTGCATTGGCGTGCCGTAGGGTGATGACAGGGGGCGCAGGCGCCTGGTGAGGGCAACCATCCGCGGCTGTAGTGGGGGAAAGGGGGGGAGGGGGGGGAAGGAAGAGGGAGGTGGCAGGGGATGGGAGGGGAAGGCAGCAGTGAGAAGGAGGTGGCAGGTGGCAAGTAGTGCACTATGCGCCGCATTGGCGTGCCGTAGGGTGATGACAGGGGGCGCAGACGCCTGGTGAGCGCGACCATCCGTGGCTGGTATGGGGGGAGAAATGGTGGAAAAGGGGGAGGCGGGTAGCCTGGGATGGGAGGCGAAGGCAGCATTGAGCGCATCATCCGACACCCTACCGCTCTCCAAGTCCCGCCCACTCCCCAAGTCCTGCCCACTCCCCAAGTCCTGCCCACTCCCCAAGTCCTGCCCACTCCCCAAGTCCTGCCCACTCCCCAAGTCCCGCCCACTCCCCAAGTCCCGCCCACTCTCCATATCCCCATAATCTCTCTCCCCTCTCCCCCCCACGCCCACTCTTTCCGTCTCACCTGATCACCGGTAGCAACAGCTTCAGCCAGTTTCAGGAGGTCGTCCTTGAGAGAATCGTCCGACACGCGCCCACTCTCCAAGTCCCGCACACTCTCCGTGTCGCCAAACGCACTCAGCCCCCGCGGAACGTGCTCCACTCTTGGCTGATTGCCTGCCGTCTGATAGACTCTCGGCTGATTGCCTGCCGTCCAACCCACTCTCGGCTGATCGATAGATTGTGGCTGCTGCTGCCCCAGCCCTGCTCTTACAACCCCCCGCAGCCACTGCTCCGATCCCGAAGCGCCACCTGGCGCCCCTCCCACTGGCGTGACTGTATATGCATCTGTCAATGTGCGCTGCTGGTGCGTGCTTGTATCGAAGGCGCTTATACTGAACGGGTATCTTGCTGTTCTGCCTGCTGCAGTTACCCCAATCCGGGCGTATTGCCCTGATACTACTCCTGCTCCTACTCCGCCTACTCCTGCCCCTACTCCCCCTACTCCTGCCCCTACTCCCCCTACTCCTGCCCCTACTCCCCCTACTCCTGCCCCTATTCCCCCTACTCCTGCCCCTACTCCCCCTACTCCTGCGCCTACTCCTGCTCCTTCTGCTCCTACAACTCCTACTCCTGCTCTTGCTGCTCCTCCTGCTGCTGCTATCCTGGCCGTGGGACCAAAAGCTCGCATCACTGAGGGGTCAACAGAGAACCTCCTGGTATCCGCGAACGAACCTGAGGGAAATAGCACGGAATCTGCTGCTGCTTCTGCTGACGCTGGCACTAGTGCCCCTGAACCATCAAATTGCATGAATCTCCCAGTACCCCCTGTATCAACTCCTGCAAGAGACGCTAGTTCAGACGCCAAGTCCCTCCGTCCTGCCTTGCTTTGAGGCGCCTCAAAACTATCAACTTGCAAGAGCCTACCAGTATCCCCGAGGTTACCTCTCCCTTCTAGAGACGCTAATTCGGACACCAAGTCCCTCCTTCCTGCCCCAGAGATAGCCGTCAGCCCAACCACAGCAGCAGCAGCAGCACTGCCATCACGCTTGCCACTACCAACGCCACCACTGCCGCTCGCATCACCACCAACACTACCGACAGCATCACCCCTAGCACCACCCCTACCACTCCTACTCCCTCCCTGGCTCGTTCTCCCCACCATATTTCCCCTCAGGCCTGCCCCTACTGCCCCTACTGCCCCTACTGCCCCTACTGCTCGCTCACTGTGCCCCAGTGCCAGTCTGTCCGCGTTAGAAGCACCCTGCGAGAACCCTGTAATAGCCCTCTCTATGGCCTCCATCTCTGCTGCGCGCATAGAGTCTATACTGCCGAAGGGGAACTCTAGGTCGAATTGGGACGGCTGTAGCGGCCGCTTTGACGGCTGTAGCGGCCGCTTCGACTGCTGTAGCGGTGTAGGGTTGGAGGAATGGCCTACTGTGGTTTCTGGCTGCCCTGATGACTGTGGTTGCTGGCTTTGGTGCTGAGTTCGGTACTGAGTCTGGTGCCGATTCTGCTGCTGCTGCTCCTGCTCCTGCTGCTCCTGCTGCTCCTGCTGCTGCTCCTGCTGCTGCTGCTGCTGCCAGTGCCAAAGCTGCAGATGCTGATTCGGCTGCACCGTCTGATTCTGGGCTTGTCCTGCTTGCTGGCTCCGTTGCTGCCGTCGAACCAGCGAAAACAGAAGCGAATCCGTCTCTCCGCGCCCTCCCTCTTGCTCCTGCTGCTGTTGCTGCTCCTGCTGCTGTTGCTGCGCCTGCTGTTGCTGCGGCTGCAGCCGACCCTGCAGCGCCTCCCACAGCTTCTCTTGTTGCTCCTGTCGCTGCTGCTGCTGCTGCTGCTGCTGCTGTTGGGTGGGGAAAGGCGCCTGCAGGGGCATCTCCAGCTGGCCACTCAAAGGCTGACCTTGACTACTCGCCAGGAGAGTTAAGTCCCCTCCTCCAACCCCCGACCCTGCAACCCCTCTCCTCACACTTCCTTGTCCCACACCCCCTTGCCCTACTACTTCTTGCCCCAGTATCCCTTGTCCTATGATGATCCCGGGACCTGTAACTCCTTGACCCGTGTCTTCTAGGGCAGGGAACCCATGGATTCCCCGTGCTGCATGGTCCGGGTCCGAGAGTCGTGCTTCTGAGTCAACTCTCAAAGCAGGACTCCCCTGGCTACTCAGAATCTCCTCTACAGACTGAGCACGCCCCACTGGCCTTACTGAAACCCCCATAGCGTTTTCTAGAACCTGAATTCCCGGTACCGACTCTTGCCTTATCCCTGTCCCTGTGTATGGCACCGACTGTTGCCGCTGCCGATGCTGCTGCTGCTGCTGCTGCTGCGAGTTTGACTGAGCTCTGGACATCTGCTGCTTTTGAAACTTAACCGCGCTGGCCAGACGCTTAGCTAAGTCCAGGGGCTTCCTACGAGGCTCTAGAACCGATTCTCCTGCAGCAGACACTCCTCCCTCCTTGCTACTGCTGCTACCACCACCGCCAACACCAGCGCCACCAAAAGCAACACCAACAGCAGCGCCACTGCCACAATCTCTCTCTCTTTCAAGCAAGGACCCGGGGGCTCCAGGCGGCAATGCAGCAGAGGCGGCAGTGGGAGCAGAGTCAGCGGACGAAGCAAGGGCGGGAGAGGCAATGTTATGAGACGCGGCGACGGCATGCGAGGCAACGGAGGGGGAGGCAGCGCCGCCAAATGGAGAAGCGGCAAAGGGAGAAGCAATCGGCGCGGTGGGGGAGGGTGCGACAGGGGACGCCGCGGCAGCAGCAGAAGCCGCAAAGGCAGGAGAAGCAACGCCAGCAGCGCCAGCAGAGCCAGCAGCACCGCCAAAAGAGCCAGCAGCAGCAGCATAGGCAGCAGCAGGAGCTCCAGCAGCAGCAGCAGCTGTTGCCGAGACTTGAGGCGACCCTGACGGATCCCTAGCCGACGGTGAAGATCGGTGCTTGCGATGCAGGCTCGAACCCAGCGGCGCGCTCAGCAGGTCCATGTTCCACTCCGCTGTAGCCGCTACGGCCGCTACAGGCGCCGCTACAGCCGTCACAACCGCTACAGGAGCCACAGAATCTACAGCCGCTACAGCCGCCACAGTATTTCCTCCCTCTGCTCCTCCTCCGCCGCCTCCGCCTCCTCCGCCTCCCCCCCACGATCCTCCATGCCCTCCCTTGCTTTTCTTACCAGTTCTACTGCTGCCGCCTGCGCCGTCTTCAGCGGCTGTAGCAACGAATGCCTCCAAAAGTCCTGGCTGTAGTAGTGCCTCGAGATGTCCCTGATTCAGCTCCCCCTGACCAATATTCGGACCCCCCTGGACTATGTTCAGACCCCCATGACCTGTATTCAGATCCCCATGGCCCGTATTCAGACCAAACTGGCCTGCATTCAAATCCGCATGCCCTATCATGCTCAGACCACCCGGACCCGTATTCAAATCTACATCATGACCTAACTCACGTCCTAAAAAAGGATCGCCCTGCCGTGAATCAAGCCTGTGCTCAGCATTCGCGATCGGCTCGGTTGGCGGCGTTACTACAAGAGGATCCGCTTGAAAATGCTCTGTTAACATGACACAGTCGTGATCATCATGCGGCGGTGATATCATCCCATGATGGTGGTACCCCATTTCGTGCTGACGCTCCAGAAAAACCCCCAGCGCAGATGGATCGGTGGGGTTGGGGACTGAATCGAAGGCACGAAAATCGGCTGGTACTGAGGAATCGCCGGGTATTTGCCATGATGTGGGATCTTCTAAGTGCCATGGCTGCGTCGCGTCCCTGCGCAACCAAGCAGCATAGATGTCATCCGTTCGAAGCTCGCGGTTAGGACTACGGATGCCGCACACAAAAACACACTTAAGACAAACGACCGCCATACACCGACGGAGAAGGACGAAGATTAGAAAGGGGAATAATACGCGGCTAGACGACGGGCTTACCACAGGGAATGATGATCGTCCATGATGCTGGTAAATTCACACACAGTCACGCTATGAGCTCCAAGTATCATATTCAGTGGAAGCCACTTATCTCCCTGGAGTACAGGTTGAATTGAAGTTCCCGCAGGGGCTCCAAGGGGGAAGAGGGGAACTTCTCAGCCTCACATTTCATGTTTGCCACATGCTCAGAGGCGTTGCAGATGCAAACAGAGCAGATTGGAATTTGGAAACCTCCGCCTTTCCTTGGTTTGAGTGAAGATCTGGCTGGTGGGGGAGGGGAATGGCTGGCCCCTGCCTATGGGAGCATTGCAATCAGCTGCTAGTGCATGTGGCGGTGGGCAGGGCAGGCCTTCAGAAGTCAGGAGAACTACACTGCTTTGCCGAGGAAAATAGGGTAAACGTTCGATCACGCCTTGCTTTTGACGCATCTAGAATTTTGATACCCGTCCACGGACTAATAAACAAAAATATCCTACGGCGGATTTCCGAGTACATGTATGGGGGTGGACCAACCTTGTAAGATCTGTAGCATTCGCTCCCCTAGCATCCCCCTCCTGTCATTGTCGGGAGTGGCATAACCCGAGCTAGTCGCACTCAGGCCTGCAAAAACAGTCCACATTTTCAGGGCTACCCAGCCTGGACAAGTTGGTTCTGGGGGGAACTCTGATTCTGCTCCCATAGGAACATCCAGGCAAGAGAGGCCTGGTGGTGGGCTTCCTCATAGCTACCCTAAATGTCGAGAAATTAAGAGTTGTTCAAACCCCGAATCCGGATTTTAACAGGCTGGGATTTTCTGAAACTCTGAATGTTTCCGACTGGATTCTCCTTGAAATCCTGATCCATTCCGTGTACTATTTTCATGAATCCTGACGAACTAGTCTCGTAGCATGGAGCTCTGTGAGGAGAACTTCCATTCCACTGTGTGGTGTCGAAGATTCTCACGTCACGAATCACTAAGGGTACGTGGACGATTTCAGGACTTCAGCCAACCAGCCCAGTCATGTTTGCTGCACACATCAGGGGAGATTACTGACACGACCTTTTAGCAGGGTTGCTATGCCGAGAACTCGGAAGAATTCTGGGTGAGATTCCTTAGGATCCGAAAAATTCTGGGTACTTATGGACCCCATCTCGGGACCCTCCGAAACTAACAAGTGCCTAGCATAAGCCCTGGTCAGGTGATGCGGTTAGTTTGGGATCACTGTACTGTAACGGGGGTCATACTAGACGTTCCCTCATATGCCCATTTCGCTTCCCATTACCATTAAGGGCACATTTCAATTTCGGAGGTGATGAGACTATTATAACCATCCTTACACTGCTTGAGAATAGAAGCTCATCCCAACATCGTTTTGCCGGTCTTATAGCAGCTGGATGTTGCACTTCGGTCTGTTGACACGAAATGAAATACAGTTCACCACAGTACCAAATCTTTGCAAAGTTTTGGTGGACAGCATCAACGATAGAAACCACCGACATATAGCTGTCCTTCGAAAATTATTTCCCCTGCCACCCTCGAGTTAGAGCACTGCGACATGAAGGGCGGGTTGGAGTGTCGTCAGGACGTTTCCTAGACTGTATACTGTAACACCGTCGTTACACTAGGAGTGACCAAGGCTCTCTCCCTGACAGGGGTTTTATTCAAATGTCAAATGTTGGAGAGTAATTTTGTACCTAATTCCGTTCTTTCGCAATTTTATTCCGTCAGCGGGAACTTCGATACTTTACTGTACAGGCAAAACTGAGGCGATTCTGTTCCCCGACGGAATTCTCTCCCTACGCTTAGCAAAAGCTCTGTTGTACAGTGCAATACATCTCATTCAGTCATTGATCAGCGATTTGGCCAGCGGTCCCTTAGTCCCGCCTCTCCCAAATTCCATGTTTTTTGTGACGGTTCTCCTCGACGAGCACCCGGATATAAACAGGCTGGATTTCGGGACTACGCTGGTTTTCAACGGTTTTGCCCGTGATATTGCCGGTTTCATGCTTCTGTAGTCCCCCGGGGAGTTGGGCCAGCACAGAGCTTCAGTGAAAGCTAAACGAGCAGAGAGGGTAAGAGCGGGCTCAAAGTACCCCAACATCAAAGGCAACCGATGTCGTCATGCAGCAACAATAGGTATGTAGCGTCTATCGGTTTGCAGTACGTTTGGACGAGATTCCGTGGTGAAACGATGTCGACTTTGGCTAAAAATATGATTTCGGATACTTTGAACACGCTCTAAGAATCAGCAGTCAACATTCTGGGTATTTCCGGGCCAGACAGAATACCCGGATCTGCTGGGTATCATAGGCTTGGGCATGTCCCGCCAAACGAAATGACAAAGAAATCCGATCACATCCAGCTGGTGTACTGTTCGCAATCATCCAGCTCGTTGCCAGCTACGTATCCGATCATCATTGGCCCCAGGCGGTGATTCGAGCAAAGAATGACGGTGGCAGCATCCAGTCTGGCATAGTTTTGTCAAGGGAGGTGGATGCTTTCGTACTTCAGCGGCTTCGACAAAAATATGAGCCACCCACACCACCTTTCTGCACGATGTGACCACTACAGATCATCCTCGACTAAAGCAACCCCTATGATTCGGTATGTGCAACTCCCATATACACAACCAGAACGGTGTTCCACCTATTGTATACGCGCACTGAATAAAAGTGGCATTGTCGACAATTGGACTGAGCTACAGACGACGACCTGGTGGACCTCCACGAGACTGCACCAGCACCAAGACTAAAATATTAGCTCTGAGACGACCTGAGCATCTCCACGTCGTCAGCCCACGACGCGTTTGTGTGTCCAATAAGCACCACTGACTCCCCTCCTCCTAGCACAAGCCCCAGTCCTGATGTACTTGCCGGATACCGCAGTACCCTCTTGGCAGCAGACTAGTGGACTGGTCGGTGCCTGCCTGTCGCAACAAAGCTGTTGGGCTGAGAAATGCCCTTAGGATCTTTCCAGAGACTAAGTCCAGTTGTAAAAGACTTGAGTAGTGCAGCGGAAGTTTGAGGTAGTTGAACCCTTGTACTAGTATATGAGAACAAGTGATGATTTAAAAGAACAAGCATACAGCAATATATAGAAAGTAGGAAAGTAAAGCAGTTGTAGAATACAGTTGAAAAAGGGCGGTTATCGAGTCACACAGCGACTCGATTGTCGCTTCGGTTACCATCATTGCAGTTGTAACTGTCAGTCGCAACCTCCAGTTGCGACCCTTCGAGTCCTTTCGTGCTGTTTGTCCATCCCCTCGTGTAACCTCCGTTGACTCGCGTACCCGTTACGATCTTCCTCGAGTGTGGTGTTACACTTCAGAAACGCTTAAGTCCTTGAGGTATTTCCAACAAAAGCGAGCCATGATACTGAGAGGGTACGCTAGATCTGGTCGAGTGCAAGTCATCTCGTACATGAGGCACCCCACCAACGCTGCGTATGGACCACTAACCTCGGCCGGCTCAGCCGAAACAGGAGCAGAAGGCTTGTTATCCATAGACAGATGGGTGGGCTGTGCTGAGCTTATGATCCCCAGACCGAACCTCTGGAGGATCTGCTGCACCATATGGGACTGGGATAGTGTGATCGAGCAAGCGGCACGGTCACGAGCGATCTCCAAGCCCAGATAGCGCCTCAGCTCCCCCAAGTCAGTTCAGGTGTGTCTCCTAAGTATCTCAGCCTTCACTGAGTAGCAAAGGTAAGATCATCTACTTACACTAAGACGTAGAACGGTATATGATCTGCGAACAAATAGAAACAGGTCAGCAGAGGACGGAGAGAACTGCAGCTCAGCAAGAGTGGTGCGAAGCGTGTCGTGCCACTCACGGGGTGCCTCATAAAGGTCGTAGACACGACGGCGCAGGCTCTACTCGGTCCCAGGTGGGAAGGACCTAGAGAAGCCTAGAGGGCGCCGAAGGTAGATCTGCTCGCACAGACTACCCTGCAGGCGAGTGAGTGAAGCTCGTAATCGCGCTGAGCGGCTGTGTGGAGGAACACCCGAAGAGTAGTCATCTTCGGGGTCGGGGAGAAGGTCTGGAAGAAGTCCACATCCTCACACTGACAGAAGCCTCTGGCCACGTAACGTGCCTTGAACTTTGGCGGCTCTCCAGATGCACGCTTCACCCTGTAGATCGACATGCCATCATCTACATTGATGGAACAATTTGTCCACAAAATGGCACTGTTTAGCAAGTTTGTGATATTTTGACAAGTATAGATGGATTATTTACAATCTGGAGCATGTGGACATTATGCATAAACAACTGATGCACCTCCAGATATCACAAACTCTAGCCAATATTGAATTGCCAATAGCGAGTACCAGCTTTAAGGCTCAATGGTCAATGTGAACAATTATTACCCGAGTAGAGACTAGATCTGTTTCCGTCGAGCATTCTTTGCACGAGCTAGCAAAGTTGCTCAGACTTTCGCTAGTGCATGCCCCTTACTCTGTGATCCTCCAGTAACCACGCGACTGCTTACTTCGCGTCAGAGATACCAGATCATTAGCCTATGTCGCTAGGGTCTGAGTTTTCGACAGATCGCACGTACGCTAGGAATAGGGCAGAGAATCGAAAAAAGAAACACTCTGAAGGCTAGTCACAGCAGTAGTCGTCTAGCGGCTAGGCCAAATGTCCACTCTTTAGGACGACCGCGACTGCTCTCAGCGTGACACATGCGCACTTTCGTGCACACCATCATGTTAGGTGCCGCATTGACGAGCATTGAGGTTGCATAACCACTAGAATCGAATCACGTTGTTAAGGTCCACCCTCACACTACACGAAATGCCCTCAAGGTGATTGGGTTTGTCCTTGTACAGCTATTGCACAAGCCACAACTATCAGCATGCAACATCTGCGACTATACAGAATTTTGTCAGAGCCCACCTAGAATGGACTCTGGAAGATTGGAAGCGGATGATCAGGTTGAACGAGACTCGGATCACTTGATATTTCTCGGATAGCCACACCCACGCATGGATTCACGAAGGCGCTGCTCTCCAGGGGCATCAGGTGAAGTAGACTGTGAAGCATGGGGGTGGGCCAGTCATGGTTTGAGTCTGTATATGTGCCTGGTTACATGTGCAAGATTGATGGCCGCATAGATGGCCAACTCTATCACAGCATATTGCAGGAAGAGGTTGCTCAAACTCTTGATTTCTATGATTTGACCGTCTCTGGCATGACGTTCCTGTACACTGTA